CCTCTTTCATAATTGCAAATTACTCTAAATCTTCTTTGTTAAGTTTTATAAAAATGCTTTAAAGACTTTGACAAAATTAGTAACAAGGATATTATACAAAGTATTTTCTGTTATTAGTCTCTCTAGTTAGTTGCTCTCTCTAAAGAAGTAGAAGCAACATAACAATATGTAGCAAGTTGTATACTCTTTATATAATTATATACTATAGAGAATTATTAATAGACAACTTCATATATTACACAGGTAAAACTGTAAACCTATTCTAAATATATTATGATAAAAAACTCTTGTTGAACATCACCTTTTCTAAATACTTTTTAAAGACTTTAATTAAATTATTGATAGTAAGTACAGATATTTTTATATATCATACTTGTAGTGTAATATGCAAGTTTTACTATAATATTCTAAATGTAAACTCAATACTAGTTTTTTAAAGGTTTTAAATTAATTATTTTAAGTATAATTTTATAATTATTTTTTATAAAATCTTTATAATATAAATGAGTAATTCTAATAGTTATCTATATATCATACTAATATTTTATTAAAGTATAACATTATAAAAGATTTTGAATATAAGTAGAATATTTCATAATTAATTTTTAGAAAATATTTATAATAGAAATAGATTATTCTAATAGTTATACATATATTATACTAATATTTTATTAAGTATAATATTTATTAAATATTTAGAATACAAATTAAATACTCTAAAATCTAAATATTATTATTATATATAAATCCTCCTATTATTCATAATCATCATTGTCATCATAAATTTCATTAAAGTATTCATTTGAGTCAAGCTGATTCCATGCCCAATTTGTAAGATTTTTTGGCTTTGCAGGAATTATTGATTGCATTTTAACTCACTTTAAATTATCCATTTTGATAATTTTATGAAATATAGATGTAGTATAAAAATAACAGCCCTCAGAATTTAACCTTTCTACTCAGATTTGTTTAATAACATTATCAACAAAGTTACAAATATTATTTCACTATAATAAAGTATTAGTACAAGTTATATAAATAATGAATTAGATATTATAGTATAATAGTACCTCATCACTTATCTAAGGAAGAATTGGAAGTAATAATTTTTTTCTAGACAATGCGGATGCATATTCTTCTTCGTTAATTGAAGTTGTATCTTCTATATCAGATACTTCTAGAGATGTTACTTCAAAAGAAAATAACTTTTCTACTTTAATTTTAGGATGATTTAGTTAGTATTTAGAAATTTTGTTTAAGGTAGCTAAACAATTAGATGATTTCTAAAAAAATAAATAATTATTATTAATAATATGCAATAATTGTATAATGATAATAATTATATAATAAGTTATTAGTAATTACTGTATTATGTTATTTATGATATCATGAGTACTGATCATTTAAAACTTTAGCAGCTAGTATAGTATTTCATTTTTTTTTTAAAGTTTTAAAGTAAGCTTCAGAGATTTCAGTAATTGTAGTTTCATTCTATTTTTTATTTGTTTCTATAAAATTATTTAAAAAATAGATATTTAATAGAAGCTTTTAAATAATAATTCACCATATAGCATCTTACTGAAAAGATTAAAAAAAGGTAGTTAAAATAGTTAAAAATAAATATGTGTTTCTTCAAATTGTACATCAAATTCTTTAATAAAATAATTGATATAATTTTGAGTAATTCTTTTGTTTTTTCAATTTTTAGATCTAAGCTCAAAGTCATATACATAATTATAATCAAGTATATGAGGCTCAGGATCTTTAAACCCATTACAATAATACATCTTGTCATGAATTTTTGCAGTAAACACAGGATTTGATGTAGTAATAATATATATTGAATTGTTCACAGTATTTGTTATATTTGAAATATTGATATCATGATCCTGAATATAAACTAATATATTGTTTACTATTGTTTGAAGTTCTTGAGTAGATGTTGATAAACTTTCTAATGTAGCTGTTGTAGTAATTAATGTATCTTCAAGATGTTGTATTTTAATTCTATGTTTGTTACTAATTCATTGCATTGTAGTTACAAATTCATTTTGATTTTGTTCATAAATATCTAGTCGACATTTCAAAAAATCAATAGAATTTTTTGTTGTTTTAAGTTGGCTTTTAATATCTGATGAATTTAAAATAGCTTTTACTTCATTTACAGTTTATATTAAACTAGTAATATTTGTTGAAGCATATTTAAAATAGATTTGTTTGCCATAGTTTTTTTCTTTTTTTAAAGAAATATAGTAATCAGAAGTTAGAAATATAAACAAATATATATATATAATCTATTTTCATTTGAAGCTGACATAATAAATTAAAATCAAATATTTAATCAGTTATGAATCTTATATATATATTTAGTACTTACTATTATATTAAAAATTTTCAATTCAACAATATAATAACAACAAATTTTTTTTTTTCTAGATATCTTAATTCTATTACTTTTAACAACTCGACCAATAATCTTTTGAATTGGTAATATAGTTTTAACTCCTCTCTCAACAAATCGGTCTTTCCATAATTCAGTGTGATAACTTCTATCAGTATTTGTAGATATTATATTTTTTAATATACTATCTCATAATTTTATATGAAAGTAATTTTGTTTTTGCAGATCTCTTTTTACCAATAAACTACAGCAAGATAATAGCTTGTTAGTATTTTTGAATTTAGTAAAGACACTAATATTCAAAAAAAAACTTTATTATTCCTAGCCAATTAACTCTTTCATTATCTAGTTGCTATCATGCAATTATATTAGAGTTCAAATTAGATCGCAAAAGAAATAGCCATATATTTCATTACTAAGTTTAAAGGCTTTTGCTCAACGAGCTGTAGATAAAACAAAAATTGATTGTTTTGATTTAAGTACTTGATTTTTACTATAAAAACTGTAATTTAAATAAATTTCTGAATAATATTGAACAAGATATCTAATTATTTTAGTTGATAGGGTAATTTCATGAAACAGTCTAATTAAATAAATAGAAAATTGTTCTAAGCTAGTAACAATATATTTGATTAATCTACTAGATATTGCACAAAGGTTTAATGCCTCTTGGACTATAAAATTATAATGTCCTAAAGTTCTAGTTTCTTCAACATTAGTTTGGGTAATTAAATCTAGAGATAACTGAAAATCTTGAGGTAGATAATGATAAGCTTTGACTTTAATTTGTTGAATATAAATTTTGCAGTTAAAATTCTCAAGTACTTTTAGCTTCATATTATGATTTGAGTTAGGGAATGAACTAAGTTTGCTATAAAAGTAAATAAAAAAAATTAAATAAATGATATTATTATAAAAGTTATTATTAAAAAAAAACCAACTTGCCTATTATAATGTTCATAAGCAAAGCACTAGAATGAATACTATAGTTTATAATCAATCATACATTCTTTTAAATATTTATGTAAGTGTATATTAGAGGTACAAAAAGGTTTACTATAAATTTGTTCTGCATATTATAAGAATACTATTATTGCTTTATGATTAGCATTAATTTCAGCTTCAGTTATTATTCTTTGACTCTATATTGATATAGCAGTAACAAATACTTGCTTACATCAATGATTAGCTTTATTAAGAAATTGGCATAAAACATATATTAAATAAACTAAAACTCATATTTTTCATTGATCAGCTATTAGTGTATCAAAGCCTAATGTAATTTTAAAGTTTATGCATCCTATATCAGTTGGTAAAGGAGTTGCATCAATTAAGTTTTGAATTTTACATAATTGTTTAATACTAAGTTTTGGTTAATTGTTATTCATCTATGTATATTATACTATACATTTACTTGTACCTAAAAATATATTATATATAGAATTAATTATAGTAAATTTGAGTATATCAATATATAGTAGTTCTAACAGACAAGTCTATCAGATTCCATATTGTTGAAATAATTGTTTTTGAGTTAATAAATCACTAATTTTATATTAAAATGCTATATGTCGATATTTAATTTTAGTTAATAGTAGATCCTCTTGAGTATAATTAGAATAATCAAGTTTGAAGGTTCTCAAAAGCTAAAAAGATTCTAGTATATTTGCTGCATACATGTTTTGAAGAATGTAGAGCCAATTCTGTAACCTATATAAACAATAACAAATAATTATCAAAAACTGAACTCAGTTTTTGTTAATTTATTCTTTATAATTAATTAACAAAAACTGAGCTTAGTTTTTGTTGATTAATTTAAATTAATTTTTTTTTTTTAATTTCAACTCATAGGTTGAGGTGAGGTCTTGTCTCTATCTTTATTTTTGTAAAATATAGTTAAGAGTTTACATGAAAC